GCAATATAAAGTCCTGCACCTCTATGGAAACAGCAAACCATGGCTACAAGAAGAGAGAGCTCAAAAGTGTCTTTTGTGCAGCATGACATAGTTATAACGCCCTAAACCATAATAATAATAACAATAATAACTAAGTTGAATTTCTGGGATTATTTACTTTCAAAGAACACCAGCAAACAACATGTTTGGGATCTAGTGTATTCTGGTGTCATCAACATTGGACAAAAAGAACTACATATCAGCAATATTTTACTGCTTATTTTTTAATTTGTTTCCATGCTCATCTTTTGTGTGCTATACATAAACACAGTCTGCACTTCCTACAAAAAGTCTTTTTTTATCGTGTGACTGTTGGTCCCACTGAGTCATTAATGGCTTCTTGGTTACAGAGAATTAGAATTTTTTTGTTTTTTAAAGAAGCCCCTCAGTGCAAATGTAGTATTTTTGATCATGTATAAATGAGACATTTAGCAGAAATTCATTTTGTTTAATCATCACAATTTTCAGCTTAGATTTGGTGAATCTCCCCAGTGGAACGGCACGTCATGGATGGGTACTTCATGGACTGTCAGAGAGGTAAAAATCCAACAGTTCTTTCTGTTTTTACAGTGTCTGGCTCTGGTGTCATGTTGGCATTTTTTTAAAGGTTATAAGTGTTTCACATCCGCCAGTTGGGGCTCGGAGGTTTAAGTCTGAGCAGAATCAGAGTACCTGCTGGTATACAATAATACTGGTTTGTTGAGTGTGGCTAATGTTAGCAGTGCACCAGCAGTGCAGTAGCAGTCTTGCAGAATGTGGTCACATATTGCGCCAGTCAAATGGTTACATGCCAGTTTAATCTGACAGTCTACATAAAAACTTATCAGCTTTTTTTTTTTTTTTTTTTTAAATCAAAATACTTTCAAACCTTGCTGTCATCTGTCCCACTCTCTGCCTTGCTGGTTTACAACATTTGCTTCAGAAGGAGGTTATTGGAGAAGGGGCTTGCTAACAACACACAACAGTTGACTGACACATGAATAAAATATTATTAATAACTTGCATCCACTAGTATTTCTAGTGCTGATTAGTGAGGGTAGAATTATTTAATTGGTCAGTTGACTAATTTTACACAGCTCTACTAAAGACAAAGGTTACATAAAGTAGAAAAAATTCCACAACAAAGCTGTGTTATCTAATTCAGGAACTGTGTTTCCGCATTTTCCTTTAATCGCATGCAGGTATTTCTTTTCAGAGCAACTCAGGCATAATCAGTTAATTTCATATGGTCAAACCAGTTGTCACCTGATGAGGGTGTGTATTTCCCAAACAGAAGCAAAGCTGAGCTACTCTCAAGGTGATGCATTCTTCATTTTGTGTGAGGAGGCAGTTTATGAGTCAGACCATAAACCCGAGTCTAACCGTACAATGGCGATGCACAAAATTAACTTAAAGGGTATGGCAAGCACAAATGATGTGCAATTTGCATTATCAGTACTCTCACATTAGATTAATGTCAGAAGTCCTGCACAAAGCAAAGCAGCAGATTCTTTGGCTATTGCAGGTGAGCTAGTCAGAGTCAACACAAGGTCCTCTGAGGCACACATTTTAGCAGGAAGCAGCAGCAGCAGCATCGCGTGAGAAGATTTGACCTGATGCAAGCTGCCTGACAACTACTGAACCACTGGAGCCCAGCGCTCAGCTAATTTCAAGCCACTAAATGTCACACAGGTTGAGCTGAACAAGTGCCACACAAAAACAAACGCCCACTCATTAGGGAGACATGCACAGAGACATGCTCAGTTTTCACACCCTTAAGCCAGTGACCAAACAGCCACACACACAATAATTTGACCTCACACCACATGGACAGACATAATCCTATGTTTAAACACACACACCTCTACAGAGCACAAAGATCGGGGGATTAGAGCCTCGTGTGAAATGAAGATGAGGTGTATCTCGTGTTTCTACCCATCTGTTCCTTGCTTCCCAAGCAACGGGCCAACTGTTAGACAGTCGGGAAGACGGTACCAAGCATTATTTGCACAAGCAACACAAGCACGACCACATCGGTGCCTTGGCTGACATGACGCTCTTGTGCATGCCAATCTCTGAGCTGATCAATCCCCGTCAGATACAGAATCAGACAGGCGTGAATGTAAAAGAGACACAAACAAGAAAGCCTCTAAGACGGTTGATTCTGTCACACCACTATTCTCGACTAGGCCCCAAAGCCACATTCACAGCTGAACCCATAAAAACCTACAGGGCAGCAAGTAATAACTGTACAAAAGACACTTTGTGGGGCCATGTGCAATGCAAACACTGTAGCTCGATACTGTTGTTCCTCTGAATCGGAGCTCACTGGTAGGAAATCGCAGCAGAATCTAAAATTCTGAATGCAAAGAACCTGATCAATCAAGAGAACGACAGCCTTTTTACTTTTCCCTACAGAGAAATAACTTCTGACACTACAGGCCTGAGCAACCTGCTACGGCCACAATTCATTCATCCCTATTGTTGAATGAATGGTCTCCGTCGCTTCTTAGGGACGCATCTGCTTTCAGTGCAGACAGCTCAGATCTCAGGTTTATTTTTGGTATATTGTAGCTGGAAGACATGCCCAAAACAACCCCATGAAGCCCCACAGAGGCCCAGCAAAGACAACACGCTGGTAAACTGGAAAGAAAGAGACGCTCGGATAAAAAAAACTACAATATGGAAAAGTGTTGTCCCTTCTGTGGCATTGGAACACGCATAGACACACATATTAATGCACAGGCTTTCACAGTCGGGAAGAAAAAAAGATCAACTGTCTGACTTGGATAAAAGTGGAATTCCCCTGGCTTTTTAACAGCACATCCTCTCTCCAGATCTCAGCGCTTATTGCTTGTGCTGCAGCCATGTCCTGTGGAGTCCATGAGCCCGTCTCACAAAGCAGGATTAGAGGGTTAACTATGTAAGGGGTTAACCCAGGAATTTTTGCCAGGACGATGGCTTTATTTTAAATCAGGCCCCATTGCTATGGTAACCAACACCGCAAACCAAACCTGCAAGGAGCAGTTTTTGTTCAGGCTTATCAAAACATATAAAACGTCCACCTCCTCATATATCAACGGTGAGAGTCACCATTCCTACAGATTCACACAAACGGGTAAAAATACTGCACCTTACAGGCCGACAAACCACAAAATGTTCTTTCTTTCGATTATATAAGAATGTTGTTTTCCTTTTTATAGAACCTAACATGTTCTGTGCCCCAACGTTGTGATATGACCAGCTTTTTAATTAAAACAAAAGTAAAAGGAAATGGAAAGAAGCCCATCATTTCACTGATAGAGAGCTAATTTATTTTTCTACCACCATATCTTCGAGGCTTTTTATTTACATATTTCTACCATTTAATGCACTTTTAGCCAAACCCAATTCCAGGCTACTTAACATAAAAAAAATAAAATAATGCAGTCATAAAAATAATTAAATGAAAATTCATAGAGTATTACTTCTGGCGTTTGATAATAGCATCATAAACATTTTCCTCTGTTCTAGTCATTATAAAGTATGGCTTTTACGTTGTTGAGTCTTTACTTTGGAAACTGCCCATCTTGATTTTTCCACCACATGTACAAATTTTCAGTGATGCATTAACGAAGCTGCATTTTATCTGATGACATTAGATGTGAGTAGCGGTTTGTTGGTAACTCATAAAGTGGAAAATGTTGGACCAAAACCAAACGTTGATAATCACCTCTGTCAGACCGGTTATCCTGAATCGCCCCAGTTTGATTAGTGAAACCAGATAACAGAGTCTGCCTGCTGTGCTTTGAACAACATGAAGAGAATATAAGCTGTTAATTATTATCAGTGGCAATTAATAATCTTGTAAAATGACGTGATGTAAATAAGAATGACTTGCAATGCCTTTAAAACAGAAGGTGAGTGTTGTTTTTAGCTAGACAGGCCCCATTGCTCTTTCTGATCCTTTGTTTACTGTACTCAGATTACACGAGCTTTCAATGAGACCTGTTACAACACTGAAACCGTTTCCTAACACACAAGGTTAGGAGCAGGTGAACAATAAAATAGCGTAAACAAACACTTAGCAGCCAGCAGTTTTAATTTATGATAACCGCCCCTGAACTGAGCATCCGTCAGCCACAGACCTCTTTGAGTTGATATTATTTTAGGTGAGCTATTTCTATAAATGTAGGTGGATAAAAAAAAGAATTTAAACGTCAGTATGTGTATGCCGGGATCAACAGAAGCTGTCCAAGTAGTGCATAAGCACTCTTCCCACAACAGTAGCACATTAACATTTTTCTATCTGTCAATCCCATGCAAAACAAGAAAGACACTCAGATACTAAACTTACAAAACACAGAAGAATTATTCAAGAGAAGACAAAGTTACACTCAGCAACTACTTTTGCAAAGTTTAGAAAAGAAAACCAAGATTTGCAATATGTGAAAATCAGCAACAAATATTTTCTATTTGACAAGTTGCCATAAGCTACGTTCATTTTATGATTGTAATGGATAACACTCGAGTTAAAGGTTTAGACTGCATGGATTTAGTTGTGAAACTTGCCAGGTATTATCACTTATTAAAAGGGATCTGACTAGAACAAAAACATTGCATCATATTTGACTGGAACAACTCTAAAATGTTTCCTCATCTCAGTGACACAAAGGCCAAAGTATCTCGTTTTACTCATTAATAATCAGGTATCAAAATTGAAAATAACAAACATTCTGCTTGTGATCTAATTGAGAAACTACTGAAACTGAAAAATTGTGTTGAGTATTTGTTGGCAAGAAGGTCATGACCGGGCTTGTTGCAAATATGCTGGAGGCCACAGGTCTGTTGGACTAACAGTAACACATCCGGTCTCTGAGCAAAGAATATTGGATGTTTGGTGAGGGTAAAGTACGACATAGCTGGGATTAACAAATTACAATATAAGCTTAACTTAGTGAAACTAATGGAAAGTCACATCACACAGCTCCCTAATGCCTTACCTGGCAAAGGAGGAGGGGAAGGAGGGAGAGCTTGAGAAAGCCTCACTGGCCCTGTGGATTGCCGAGTTGTCCCCAATGCCTTGGCCTCTGTTCCAGACCCCACTAATGGTCGTTACTGGGAGATACAGGCTGGTCACTGGCTTCTGATCCTTCTGCTGCTGAGCTTCATTGTTTCTGGCGTTGACTCCAAAGTGGTAGCTCTGTCCTCCTGAAGTACTGACCCCACAGATGGAGATGGGGTTGGGGCCGGGCACGTCTGCAGAGGACGAGCCACTCATTTGGCAATAACTGTGGCCTGCAGAAGTCTTCTCCTGTTTAATCACACCAGGGGTGCAGAGCTGAATGAAGCTGGCATCTTTTTCTTTTTTCACCAATGCAGACAAAGTGGTTGTAGACGTTAAGGAAGCAGTTGTGGATATGCTGGAGCTGGACTGATCTGGACTTGTCATGTTGCTGCCATTGAGGGCAACAGTGACTCCCCCAGTGGTGTTAATGCTCTCAACCACAGCAGGCTTCATGTCCCTCTCTGAGCTAACATCACCAAGCAAAGAATCATCTGTCAGAGTGGAGAGAAAGGCATCATCCCCTACATAAAAATCTGAGGGGGACCCAGTGAGGTCAAAGTCTTGAAGCAGGTCCAGAGCGTTGTCACTGAACAATTTCTGGTTCACGTCCACATCTTTCCCAATCCCAAAGGGATGATCGAGGTCAATGGGGTCCTGCTCTCCTTTATCCATGGAGAAATCCTCTGTTTTCATAGGGAAGAAGTTAGGATCTGATCCCCCAATAAGTGAATCCATGGAGGACTGGGTAATGTCTGTTATACTGGCCTCCAATTGGGGCAAATTTTCTGCTAAGTTTTGACGCCCGAAATTAGTGGAAGTCTGTGTCTGAAGTAACTGCTGCTGCTGCAATCTCTGATCTTTGGTCAGGCCCCTGGTCTCTGGGCCGTCTAACAGAGAGCCTAAAGTGGCAGTGAGAGAGGTGGAGGTGAGCTCCTCTGGAAGGGGGGTGTTGCTGAGGCCGTTAGGCACCTGTCCTGGCTGCATCAATGGGCTGGATGGAAGAACGACAGAGGTGACAGAGGTGGCAGAGGTGATGGACATGGCACTGCGAGGAGCCACTTTCAACAGACCTCCCTCCTCTGGGCTTTCAGTGTAGACAAGTTTGCTTAAATGGTCATCTCTTCTGTATGCTATCTTCTTCACTCCACCTTTGTCCATCTTGTAATTTTGAGGGGGAGGAAGAGAAAGAGAGCGTTCACACAGTGCAGAGAAAACCCATTAAAAACACTGAAAGGGCATCATCAGATGTGCAGAAAAGCCAGTGCTGTTACAGTATTATATGCTTTACAATGGCTTCGGGTTACTCTCATGCAGAGAGGAGGTAACAATAGTTAAGTCAGCATAAGACAGGGGAAAGTTGCCTAGCATGCCCCCCTGAGCGCGCTTGATAGTTAGCCAAGCTTAAGGTAGCAAGCTAACTACGCTAGCTATTCCTAGAAACAAAGTGTTCGTATAAATGCATGAATAGACTTACACAGATTTTACACACTGCAAATCAAACAAACCAATAGCACAAGTCCGACCACATACTACACACAGAGACCAACAAAGTTACAGAAGTCTGAAATATGCTAACGTTAGCTTTGTGCTAACTGTTGGTATGCTAGGTAGCAATGTGGCTAACAGTCAAAGTGGCTACGTGCCTACATTTCACTCGAATGTCGTTGACACTAACGTTAGCCTGCGTGCTAACGTAGTCCTTTTAAATGCATATTTGGCGTTACATTTGCAAGGTTACTGTCTAGAAGTAAACAATGCATCGACTCAAATGCCAATAAAGTCTGATATTTACCCTTGAAATGACTGGTTGCTGATATGTGTCCACAGGTCGTCTGTCAACATTGTTTTGGTTGAAAGTGGCAGTTCACAACACGCTGACTGACTCTGTTACTCCTCGGACGTCGGATCGAGGCTACATGACGAGTAAAAACGACAAAACACGCCGAGCTGAGTTCGTCTGATCCGTTTTCTGTGTTCCGGTTCGATCTAGCTGTGAAATGTCATGCAAAATGTTAACGTGGCTAAGCTATGTGGATTTGTGGCTAGCCATTAGGAAAGTAGGCGCTAACCTCCAGGAAAAACATACAAAATGGAGAACCGAGCACGGCAGCCCCATGGCTGACCTGTTTACAACAAGCAGCCCTGCCTGCTGCTGGCCGCGCCGGGGAACTGCAGCTCTCTGGGTGGCGGTCATCACCAAGCCCCGGCATCAGTCTGGGGGTTTAAAATAATAAATAAAGATAAAATAAAAAAATATTAAGGACTGTTGACCCTGTGGCGTGAGGTTTTGAAAGTTACAGATATGGCCATAAGAACAAAAATATCCCCATTAAAGAAACTTCCATAAAATATTGTATATTGACACTATTTTCCACGTTCACTGAGATTTTATTTATTTATTTTTACCCCAACGTCAGTGCTGATCATAACTAGCAAATAGTCATTCCTTTTCAGGATTTTAACCATTTAAATGCCAGTTTGTCTAAATTACGTCACTGCTATTTTTATGAAAACAAAGTGAAAAATTTAATATTTTCCATATTATAAATTTATATTTTATAATCACAGTCTGAAATATGTCAGTGATTTGCAACGACACTGATTCTGATGCATTACGATTTTTGTGCACTGTCAGATTAAAAATAAACTCACAAACCTAAAGGTCAACAATATCCTTGTTAAGAAAACGTTCATAAAACATTCCATTCAAAGTATTTCCCACTTTCATTGAGCTACATTTTTTCATTAATATCAATCCTCATAAGCATCATATTTATTTATTAATTTTCAGGATTTAACCCATTAAATGCCACTTTGTTTACATGATGTCACTGTTGTTTTTGACTAGAATGTGAATGATTAGTAGCAACATTCATTTTGATGCATTATTGTTTTTGTGCACTGTCACATATCAAAACAAAACCATCAACAACTCACTCTTAGGACCTTAAGTGTAAAAATTTCCTTTTTAAAAATATATTTATTTATTTTTAAAATCCATACAAATATTATATAGTAATATTGTTTTAAAATTTTGCTGAGATAAATTTTGTAACCAACATCAGTGCTGATCATAACTACCAAATATGCATTCCTTTCAGAATTTTAACCCTTAAAATGCCAGTTTGTTTACACGATGTCACTGTTGTCTTTCTGGAAAAAATACAACAAAAAAGTGAACCATTTTCCACATAAGTGGTATGTGGATTTATTCTAACACTAGAAGCTGGGATATGTCAGTGATTAGCAACAACATTAAGTCCAATGCATCATTATTCTTGTGCAGTGTTACATTTAAAGAAAACAGCAACAGTAAAAAAACAACAACAACAAAAAAACAAATTAATAAATATATAAAAACAACTTGCACTTAAGACTTTAAGGCCAAAAAACCCAATACACAATATTATACAATAATTAATCAACTACAAACCAATAATGGGGACAAAGTAACTTGTGTGTTTGCATTTTCTGAGGACACATTAACATCCTCCTTAATAATAACAGAGTACGACGTGCAGCAGTCCAAGGACCAAGTGCTTTATCGCGATGGACAAATGGTGTGTCAGCATCTGTCTCCTCTTACAAGATTGGTCATGCAGTGTGTTGTTCACTGTCTTGCAGCTGTTAAAGGACATTAGACAAACTGACATCAGAGGCAGAGGACAGAGGGAGGAATCATGAATGCACTCCAAAAATGTTTTGGCTCAACAAAACAAAAAATAGTTGATTTATGAAGTTAAGTGAAATTATGTTCAACCAACAAGCAGGAAAATGATATTTTCCTCTAAAATCAAAGCTTTAATTACCAATATTAACCATCCGAAAGTGTCCTGTAATGTTAAGATAAGGAAGGGGACAAGAAATCTTAAAGTAAATGTGAAGAAAAATCAAGCTCTTCAGTGAAATTCGGGTATCTCAAATTGAATTTGTTTTAAATTAACTAACACAGAAATGATTCATTACCTTTAAGAGTGTGTAGTAACACCTACAACGCACTCATTATAGCCTGGAAATAAGATCGTCTTTAACTTCTACCTGTGAAAAATAGCAAAAGAACACAGCCTTCTATTGAGATATTGCAAATAATGATTGCTTGAGGGCTGCAAGGTGGCTCGTGGTTAACACCAGGTCACCGGTTCGTGTCCCGGTCAGTTGATTAGTGATTCTTAATTGTCTGTCGGTATGAATGTGAGTGTGCTTGGTTGTCTGTCTCTAAGTGAAGCCCTGTGATAGACTGGTGACCTGTCCAGGGTTTCCCTGCCTTGACCCTAAGTCAGCTGGGATAGACTCCAGCCCCCCGTGACCCGAGTGAGGATTAAGCGGTGTATAGATAATGGATGGATGGATGATTACTTGAGATAAAATAATGAGGTCTGAGGCACACAAAACATCACCAGAGGGTTATTTAGATGTCTCAGTAAAGAAAGGCAGAGCAGGGCTGGTGTACACATATATTATACACATTATTTTGTTTCAGCTCACTTTTGGGTCTAAATGTGGCTGCAAGAACATTTAATGTCACAGTTCCAACCAGTGCTTATTCATATGCAGACTCAACCATGATGCAACACAGACTTGATTGGTGTGTTGGGGTAAACAGCTTGCAATAACATGCATTGAAATTCACTGCAATATCCGTTGACAATAAACTTTCTTCTTCCGCTATTTAATTTAAAACCTCCTCAGTGAGTGTAAACTACTTATTCATGAGCGAAAATAAGTTACATCTGACATTAGATTGTATAAAATGTGTAAGATCTGAATACTTCTCAGATAAACATAATAAAATGAAACAGGCTCTGTAAGTAGGTTAATCATAGTGCCAGGTAGAGACGTAGTGAGCAAAGAATTTTATTGCACTGATAACGTATTTATTGCTGCATATGACCTTAAAAGCCTTTTCATCCTATTAATGAATAACTGATATTTTGAGATACAATTGTTTGTGTGCTTGGTGTCCTCAAGAAGGTTCAATCTCAATGTCACTAAAAGACCCGCATCAGTAAACAGTTAATTATTACTGCAAGGGTTGTGATTAATGGCAAAATAGTCTGCTTGTTTTTGAAAGTAGTTTAAAGCAGCAAAAAAAGAAAAGAAAAGAAAAGAAAAAGTATTTATTTAAGGACAAGAATGTGGAAGCTACTTAATTTACATGAAAAACTACTGCAATCAGACTTGTTCAGCAGAACACTGCAAAAACATTTTGTTTCACAAAACATGGCACTTCACACTTGTGCCTCTTTTATCTGGAAACATAAGTGGATGAAAAGTGAGTGGGAGAAGAGGAAATAGGGGAAGGCAGGCTGTATGTGCATAGGGAAAATAACTGCAGGGAGGTTTGGACTGGTACTATTTTTCACTTTCAAGGCTGCACAATGGTGCATAACACAATTTTTCATAAGACAGTCATTCACTCACAGGACACACAGGGGCAATGTATGGAGACCAGAACATTTCATCAGAAATCATGTTTGCTGAGATTTAGAAATTCATTTTAAACCATTTCCTATTTAAAAGATGTGTATTTTGTTCATGCAGTGACAGTTGACCTGGCTCACGACAGTTTAATATCTTTACCAAAGCCACATTGCGGATTATAAAGCAAGAGCCTGCAAAAACCACAGTGGACAACTTAATGCTACAGCACATACAGATTTCTTACTTCAGTCTCAGCTGGGAGCTATATTGTCTTACATTATTCATGCTGAAGTTGCATGAAATTCAACCCCTTCCAAATGATAGAATCTAACCTGGGAGTTGTGCCTGAACAGGAAATAAAGTGAAGACAGGACGCAGGGAAATTGGCTCTAATGGGAGGCTGAATGAGAGGAATAAGAAACAGGTTTACAGCACATGTGGGAAGAGAGTCAGTCTATAGCAAACAAATTCTAGAGAATGAACTTTCAGTCGTACTGTTATTGAACTCCAACACCAGATATTCATCTGTATGGTAAAGACAAACAGCCATGTAAGCTACACCTAATGGTGTTACACCTTATCCACAATGGTGTCAATGTTAAGGTCACACAATCCACAAAACATTATATCATTTACAACGTAAGCAGCAAAAGCCTCACATCACAGAAAAAGAGATCAGTATGCTCACTGTAGCTCTAAATCCCCACTGTTTGAATCCCACTCAGTCCCCTGCGGCTGCTTAGCAACCCCTCTCCAGCACAATATACTCTGAATTAACAGGGTAAAGCGTGACCGCTGCCTCTTCAAAACCACGAGTCAAGGGTGCTCTCCCATCATCAACGCCTTCTCTCAGCACTGCAGCAATAAAAGCCTCCGATTTATTACAGCATGGCTTCAAAAAAACACACACACATACACAAACAAGCCGAAAAGCAAACAAAACAGTCTGAAACACGGACAGGTGTCGGTGCCGGTGCCCACTGAGGGGACCTGATATTTCTTCACGTCAAACAAGCAGGTCCATAAGTATAAAAGTAGTCCCCCAGATTCAGGAGACCACGAATATTTCAAGGCTTGATTTAATTTTGCTCCTACATTCATCCTGTGTCGGTCACCTTATAGCATCTACAGCTTGTGACCTACATAAAACTGCACATACAGATGATGACATGCATTGTCAATCCTTGATTTCAGCCATGCATCGCACTTCATCCAAACTGGATTTTCCGCCCTACACTACTTCACTGTAGTGTATACTGATGACTCTATGACAAATTCACTGAGCAGCCCTGAGCAATAATATACAAGTCCCAAACCCCTGCCCCCTCTGTCACTATAATCCAGAATAAAATGACTCAGTGATGAGGATTCGTGACTTTTTCCACCATAAAACTGCACTCACATTGGTGCAATATAATCAATTAGCACCAAACAAATAGGACTTATTAATCAATGCACGGTTTTATTTTGATAGCACTACATCAGCATGGACGGAGCACTGAGCAGCAGTGATTCTGGAGCTGAGATCTGTCCGCGGTGCTGAAACAAGAATCCAGTCTGTCAAATCGATGAAGAAGAGATCAGTTTTCATATCCAGTCATGTTGTTCTGGGTGAAAGAAGTGACACCGGTTCCAGAAGGTTCAGCCACATGCAGAGTAGTGCAATTTATTTTTTTCATTTTTGTTTAGTTTACTGATTTCTTTTAAAGTATGACATTGGATAGAAATAAAGAGTGGGATCACAGACCACCAGCTCTTTTCACGAGTAGTTGTCACAGTCGATGAGTTTTTCCAGCAAGACACTGGCACCTAACCCCTCACCAGTCTCCCGGGATAAGCGCGTCAGCTAAAAGCGTTAAATGTAAATGCGAAAGCCTCAGTGAAGACTCAGAAGAAGGGATTAAAATCCGCCACGCTGGGATGTTAAAACTGCATTAGACCTGAATCCTCATCGCCAGCTGCACATCGCCCGTGGCCAGATCAGAATTTCATGAAAAACTGCACAGATGCACCCCTCCTCCCCGACCCCATCAGTCCTTTTTATGTCGATCGACTGAAAATGTCATTTTCCTTTAAGATGATGTAAGACATTAGCCTACTTCACGGGACGATTTTTTTTTCCCTTCGTTCTCTCTCTCTTGCACAGCTTGGAGCAACATTATCTCAAACCTTCTGCCGGTCCAGCCGTTTCCGCACTCAGCAGTTTGGAGAGATGGGTGCGCACAGGAGTACCGCTTCCATCCTCCTCCCTGTGAGCCACCTCGGAGCATGTTTCAGCATCCCAGCAGTCAGGAGCGACGCTCAGTAGCAGAATGATGAGATGCTGGCACATTTTTTAGTTTATCTTGGACTTCTGTGGCTGAACTAGGAGCCAGGCGCAAAAGGGGCGAATCTTTCCACAGCAAACTTGCGCAGAAATGCTTTTACTTTTTTGACGGTGGGGGGGATTTCAGAGTGAAGTGAGGATTATATTTCTTTGAAGTCACACTGACGACCCATCGCAGTGGATGTGTGTAACATAATGCTGGTTATGATAATCGATTCCGTGCAAAAAAAAGAGGATGCACTGTGGCCGGGCACATTTACGCATGGGGTTAAAGGATATACTGTAGACACACCTTGGGATTTGTTTTGTCATGAGACACTGGATGCGAGGACTGCAGCTTGAATCAAGCCTGTGCTTTGGGTCTGAGTCCATCAGCACCATGCAGCTACACCCCACACCCTGAACTTCTGGGACGTTTGCGCTCCGTGATCGAGACTTGGATTTCGTTCAGGATCTGAAAAAAACAAAACAAAACAAAACGATGGCATTGAGCGAAAACTGCAAAACGCAACCTGCAAAAGAACAAGGCTCAGTGCAAAATCCTCCATCGGATGTTATTGAGCTAAACGTGGGTGGGCAGGTGTATTACACTCGTCTTGCCACCTTGACAAGCTTCCCAAATTCCTTACTTGGGAAGCTGTTCAACAAGAAAGGGTCTTCAAATGACTTGTCCCGGGACCTTAGAGGACGCTATTTTATTGACAGAGATGGTTTTCTGTTTCGGTATGTATTGGATTACCTTAGAGACAAGCAAGTTGTCCTCCCTGACCACTTTCCCGAGAGAGGAAGGTTGAAAAGAGAGGCGGAATACTTCCAGCTGCCAGATTTGGCCAAACTTTTGTCATCCGAGGAGTCAAAACTCTTCCCGGACGACTTGTACTACAGTGATTTCGACGACGTGTCGCAAGGCAGCGACCCGAGGTTTTATCCCTCTCACTCCTTTGACAGGGGCTACGGCTACATCACGGTCGCTTTCAAAGGCGTTTGCGCCGCGAGAGGCAGAGAAAGTCAAACTGATTCCAAGACCAAAAAGTTACCGAGAATCTTCATTAGCAGCAGAATTAGTTTGGCGAAGGAGGTTTTTGGAGACGCCCTGAATGAGAACAGGGACACGGACAGACCGCCGGACCGGTACACTTGCAGGTTTTACCTCAAGTTCAGGCACCTGGAGAGAGCTTTTGACATGCTGTCAGAGAGTGGCTTTCACATTGTGGCCTGCAACTCGTCCCTGACTGCGTCCTCCATCGGTCATTACGCGGATGACAGGGTCTGGTCCAATTACGCACAGTACATCTTCTACCGTGAGTGAAGATTTATTCCCACTCTACACTCTTAGAAGTGATGTGAGATGAACTAGAAGCTTCTTGAGCTCCAGGAGTAATCGTAATGAAAACAGATAGCCACATAAAACACAATCAACAACAAATGTAAACTAAAAACAAATGTAAACTAAGAGAAAAAGAAGAAAAGAACCAAATGCCCCTCCCTTTTCCCCTTATGGTCACATCAAGACAACAGTACCAAGTGGTGTAACGTCCATCACAAGTACTATTTTTCTCACTAAACGGTAAAAGTTGATACTTTCCCACTCAAAAACCCATCTAATTTGCTACCAAAAAATTACAAGTGACTCGCAAAAAGTGGTGAATGTTTGCTCAAACCACCAGGAGGCATGGTCGGGTTGCAGCGTTATCCCTCCCAAATGTTTGCATCCCTTGCAGTGGCTGACTTTAAACTTGTGCTTTGGGTCCCAGATAAGAGGCAAACTTGCCCACGGGCCTCAGGGGAGTTGAGTCACAATGCTGCTACGCTTCAAGTACACATGCGTCATGCGTAAACACGGCTTAGTGCTCAGATTCTGCCAGCCGCTGGGTTATGAATAATATAGCACCAGTGGGCAGCAAAAAAAAAAAAAAATCACATGAATGCTGCTGCTGCGTTCTCTTGAATCAGCTTTGCTTTTCACTCAAAGATAAAGTTGGTTAGTCAGAAAATGACTTAATTAGCTGCAAATATGGCTCATTCCTTTGCTGAGGGAGGAGTTGGACCATATGGCCAATTAAAAAGCACTTTGTTCATTATTCTGAATGGCTCCCTTTAGAGGAGCTGAAGAAAACCCAGTTGGTGGGTCAAGGTTGGAGGTGCAAGAGGGTGGACTGAGGAAGACTTGACATATGGTTTGCTAATGATTTACCAATAGTGCTAATACAGGGTAATTATTACAGAGGGGTCCGCCTTGGCCCGAAATAACATCCTGCTAGATTTTCCAGTGTCACTCAGTGTTCTGGCGCACAGCATATGGTGTAGGTGTTCACCCCCTTCCCCATTAACAGACACTGCCCCAGGACAAAGTCATGGGACAGTAGGAGGAGGATGGGAAGGTGGGAAGAGACCCGAGGAGGAAACTGCAGCAAGTGCAGCATGAAAGGAAAGAAGCTGCAGAGCGAGTAAGAAGAGCACAGAGAAGAGAGGAAAAAGAGAGAGAGAGGGGAGTTTAAGGAAGTGAGCTGAAGAGAAGAGAAGAAAAAGAGAGGCAAGCAGATGGAGGAGAGAGCGGCTGAGCGGGAGGGATGAGGGAGTAAAAGTTGCATGAGACCTGGCCATGGGGAGAAAGAACTGAGGCAGAAAGAAGCGAGAGGGAGCCGGCGCAAAAATAGATTAAAGTGAGGATCAGACAGGAAAGTTCATTGAGTCCGAGGCAGCGGAGAGGAGGAAGAGAAAAAAAAATTTGGGGTGGAAAGACACGGGAACAGAGGGAGAGACTGGGTTTTCATTAGAACGAGAGCAGACAAGGTGAGGGTGAAAGGAAACACACATATATCGCAAGCATGAGCAGACAGAAGCCTAGTCAGGATGATGGATAGACACATCAAAGGTAGACAGCCGTGAGAGGCCTTTGCTTCACAGCAGCACAGCGGCCCGCATCCACTTTCTGAACTAATACGGTAACCTGACTCTGAATGTGGGACAATGGCTGGCCTAGGGCAGGTAGTCCTAAACTAAGGATGCATGTAGACAAGTGCACCTTTGGGAAGAGGGGGGGAGAGAGACATGAAACAGATGTGCTTTATGGTTGTTTGTTGCTTTCAGTGGAACATTTCCCTGCTTTTCTTTACTCCCCTCCCCGTCCAAACACAGGCTCATATGGAGAATGAAAATGGTAGGAGGGAGGCTACATTTGTTGAGAGTGCAAAAAGAGCAATCCACTGCAGTAAACAAACTCGGAGACTTCCTTCCAGCCTGTCAGTTCCTTAGCATCATCCGTGATGCTCTTCTTGGTAAATGCATCAGTTATTTCCTACAGCTCCCCTGACTGCCAGCATCACTGTAGACTCCTGTTTCTAAAATGCCCACAGCAGAGATTGATCATGTTCCCTTCATGGTATCATCCGTATTAACATCATGTTATGAAGCTGCCCTCCCAGTAGTCGTCAGCGAAAAATATGCTATTGGTTTCTTTGCAGATGAAAACAAATGATAGTTCCAGCAAAAGGGCACTCTCCTCGGGAGGCCACATTGTCCGAGCATTCATCATGAACTGGAGCTTTTGCGTCTGATGGCCATGATGAATAATTTACATTTAATCAAGTGTGACTTGTTCACCTCTTGAGTAAACAACTGAATGAGAGAGAAATACATCAACACTGATAACAAGCACATATTAGAGAGAACAGGACTGAGATTAGTTCAGTCAGTTCCGTTTAAGACCTGCAGCTCGCTGGTATATGACACACGGAGAAGGCTCGATATGGCTTGATGGGCAGCCCTAATAAATGTAGTGATATATGGCAGCCATTTCTGGATCACCTTGCTCAATGCTGATGCCAACAAAGTCCACAATGTGCCTTCCACCTTGTTCATTGTGCGTAGATATGTTGTGCCAGTGATGCAGTGTAACCTAACACTTCCATTTAATACGCCTGAGTTGCTATTGTCTTTTGTGTCTATTTAGGTTTTCTTTAAAAAAAAAACACAAAAAAAACAGAAAAAACATGCTTCTGCTTCTTGTCCTGCATTATATAAAATATTGATAAGAAATTTCTAAAAATGGAATGAAAATCCAGAACATTAACTAGTTATCTTGCACTGCATGGTAGTCATCATCATCATCATCATCATCATCATCATTATGAGACAAAGCCTTTATTTGTCACATATGCATTACAGCACAGTGTTTTTCTGCAAAGCCCAGCTTACTAGATAATGCAGCATACCCTAAGTACACAGAGTTAAGGGGCCTTTCTCAGGGGTCCCACAGAGGCAGCTTGACAGTGCTGGAGCCTAACTGTGGAGCCACCACCGCCCCCAACATGATATTAACGGCAAAATTACGAGATATAAAGCAAAATATTCAAAACAGAAGGTCTAATTGTGAGTGTGGCATTCAAAATTATTAAATAGAAATTCTGGCTTACTACGTCTAAAAAAAATACAAGAAATAAGAACGAAATATGACCTACTGAGTTCAATTATGACTGACCAGGTCAAAATTACGAAAAAAAAACACAATAATGATTTACTATCTACAAATCTAAAGAAATAAAGTCAGAATTTATGACTTATAATGTCAACAGATTAAGTAAAAAATATGACTTATGACAAAAAGCCCTAATTACGACTGTGTAAAAAGTATATAAAAAACAAATTCAAATAAAACAAAATACATTTTTTATTAACTGTATGCCTAAAAAATAAAGTCCAAAGTATAATTTACTATCTCAAAAAAGATGACTTACTATGTCCATTGTTTTTTTTAAAAAAGGTCCAAACTATTGAATGGTGAATAAAAATAAATAAAAGTCAGAATTGAGACTTACAATATCAAATTTATCTTTAAGATAAGAATTTAAAATATGTGATAATAGGCCAGTTGAAAAGGTTTATTTCTACACTGTGCACATGGAGACTAGACTTGCTGAGTCAAATGCTTCCCTCAGTGATCCCATTTTAACAGTTATATCACAAACTTTTTCCCCCTATAACAAGCAGAAGTGGCACTTCTAACAAAAAAAATTTGACACACGCAAATGCAGGTTGTTTGGTGTTTTTGTTTGGCAGTGACAACATTATTGCTGTAGTGATTAAGAACTGTAACCTCCCAGCCGGTGTTTGGGACCGGGCTCCTTATTGCCAATTATCTCTGGGGAAAGAGGAGAGTGTCGGCTAATTAAAAAGCAATCTGTGATCCCAAAATATTTCCTCGTCTCCAGCCATCCAGTGTGAGATCATTTGCAAACTATTTTAAAGACAGCTTGAAACTATGAATCACGTGTTACTATTGGGGAACTTTAACTCAAAACTTGCCGTCGTTGGACTAAATCATAACCTGCATCGACTTTCCTGCTTCCACATCGCAGCAGCAGAGCAAATGATCATCGAGCAGTGGGGCTGCCAACATCAGAAACACTTTCACCTTTTCCTACGCTGAATGAGCTGGTGTCAAGTCAAAATGGGAGACGTGTACAGTAAAGATGGAGAATGATTATACTTGCCAGGTGTGCTCTGTTAATATAACTGTGCAGTCTTCATTTGGGCTGGAAATGAGATGATGTGTGGCCATAATGGCTCCTGAACAATGGCTACGAAGCGGCCGGGAGAGACGGGGAAAGTAATCAATTGCTTGGGTGTAATGGAGGCAGAGATTGGGCCGTCCCTGAGCTCCCACAGAGCCTGGTTGGAGTCTGGATGGATTGGCAATGCCTACAAGAGATGGATGGTGTTCCCATGAATAACTCATACAGGCCTTAAAGAGCACCTGGGCAGAAAAATGGTCAGAAGTAAGGCGAGGTGTATGTGCTTGTGCCATTTTTTTCCCCCCTCTCTTCAGTGGTAGCAGAAACTTGCGCACTAAATCAGTTCAAGTAGACAATCTGGTCCACCTTGGGAGAGAATCTGAGTTTATTGAAAAGCTGCTGATGCAAAAGGAAAAATGTAGTTTTTGAAAGCAATCTTATTTCTTTTTTTTTTTGGAAAGCAGCAGGACCCGGTGGCTGCTACATGTTCTCGAAATCTTCCTACAAGCTTTTGTATTGATTTCCTCGGCAGCCATTGGTTTCACTTAATTTCACTACAGAAGAAACTTAGAGATTTACTTAAAATAGGTTCTAAGATAAACTTTGACCATCTTTTTTCCCCCCTTCAAGCCTAGTTATTGGTTAAATGTGAAATTTTCTTTAATTGCCAACTCGCCCCACATATCTCACTCTATCTGTGCATGCTTGTTCATTTTTGGGGTTTAATTTTCCAACAATTTGCATGACTGCTGACTCACAAATGATAATGCATGTTTGACTAAATATAAATTTGGATCTATTACCCATCGTAAGCAGCTTTATTTAAACAAATGAAGCCTGCAGGTAAAAAATAAATAAAAATAAAAGTCCCTCTAAACCTAAAACAAATAAATCCTTCTGTATGTTTCCTTAAAAAGAAAAAAGATAAACTCAGATCCCAGTTGATGAAATTGTTCAGCCACCTTTTAAACTCCAGCAATTATTTTTGCCTCTAGTTTTTGCTCAGTGAAGCTGCTGGAAAACAGGTATAACAGCTCTCCTTCTGTCTGACATCTAACACCTTAATGATCCCCCCGGAGACATTTAATGCCTACTTGGATGTGAAACTCTTCACATTATGGGCAGGACTGAGTGTTTTCTGATTGGGGGGGATCTCCTGTGTTGGCATGCAGGAGGAGACCTTTGCAAATTACTGACATTTTTGTTGGCATGCGATCCAGTTGATAAAGTTCATCTGTGAGAATTTATAAGAGGATCTGATGCTCTGAATTATCCGTCACTCTTTGAGTAGAACCAACCTGACAGGGCGAGGGAGCAGAGTCGCCCCTCTTCTTTTCTCCGTCCTCTCGAGGCATCATTTAGGTGATGACAAGAGCTCTGCAATACTTGGGACATCCTCTCGCTGCCTCATCAGAGGAAGGGTGTGGCTCTGGGTCAGGGGACGGGCCCACAGGGAGAGGCTGATATAGACATTTCAATCTGCCTGCGTTGCTTGTTCATCTCCCTGTCAGGGAGACACTCAGCGGACAGCCACCCTCTGACTGGGGAGGACGCGACACCCGCTTGTCATTAACAATCAGCCAGAGAAGCTGTCACTCTCCTCGTGGAGAGCAGATAATGTGGGCCAGTGTAGTCCATAAGACATGCTCTGTGTCCTTGAATTAGGTCATGTAACGCTTGTCGGGACTCCGTGAGTTACCCTGACTTATTTGTCACCAGCTCCTTTTAATCACAGCCTGCTGATGAGGGTTGTTTCAGGAGAGGAGGCTGGCCAGCCGACTGGAGGTAATTAATATTGACAAATTCAAATGTATGCAGATATTAGAGACACTATTATACCTGGTGGACGCTGGCTGTGGCCGGGCACAAACTGCTGAAGTGATACTTTTGCAGCAAATGAGACTAGATTGGTGAAATGGATTTCCCTCTCTCTGTAAGGACGGTCACTGCCTTTGCAAGACAAGCCTTTTTTTTTTTCTGCTGCAAGGACACGTTGGCCTAATTTGGGAGCGAACACGCATGTAAACTACACCCTTCCTGAGGCAGTGGAAGAATAAAAAAATATTAGTGTAACTGGATATGGGAGCTGGAGAATATAAGAGTGTGTCTGCACGCATATGAGCTTCACTGCATATTTAACCTGCTAAACCAAATTACCCTCTATACATAAAGCTTTTTTTCACCAAACTATATTCTTGCCCAGAAAATGTGGTTGCAGCAGAGCAATGCAGCAACCAAAGATAATTCATACAGTTCAGTCTCGCCGGGTTTTGCTGTGTTTGGGCAAATAACAGACAGTAATGAAAGTGAATAGAGCAGACATGTTTGTTTCACAAGTTAAGCCTTTTCTGTCTGACTCAGGCAGCTTGAATGTAAAATGCTGTTTTTGTGTTCAAAACTTATTTTCATTCGTTCAGATTGAGGGCACAGCTCACATCCCCGCTGAGATTCAAATTTGAAAAGGAGACAGCTTTGGGTCACTCAAGTCTGACTATGAAATAAATTGTGTTATGGCCTCCTGGTTACGTGCAACAACAACGTGAAATTGCTGAGTGATGAGTCTTTCTTGTTACTCTTTATTTAGTTCTTTGCCTCTCAACTTGCAGGCACATGATTGTGCCGAGCCTCTCTCAGATTACAGAACCGAAGCGCCGCTAAAGCATCAGACACCTCTGATGAGTCAGTTTGGGAGCACGGATAAAAACATAACCGCAAATGTCTGGCAAGAAAGCCACTGACATTTTGAATTCGAGTCTGTCACAGAACTCTGCCTTCGGTCCAAACCATGTCCTATTTTTTATGCCATTTAAAACCTTTAAAACTTATTTTAATCTAATATGCAGGCAGCTGACTCTCCCCAAAGCTGACTTCTCCCAGGCATGAGGACAAACACCCCAGCTTTCATTAGAAGTGGAGAGGAGTTGGAGGATGCCCCGTGTGGCACGCTTGCATGCCTCTGTGCTCTGTGCAGAACTCGACTCCCTCTCTTTGTGTTATTTATGAGAAGTGCAGACACAGCTCGAGTCTGGTCTGAGGACCGGCCCTAGTCTTTTAATGTGGTTGGAATATGATCTCTTAGACTGGCTGTATAGATCTGAGAAAAACACATTACAATCAATGGCTTCCCTGAAAAGATACCAAAGTGTATCATACCCACTCACTTGTTTAAATGTGCCTGAGAATGACTGTGTTTCCTGACAAGGCTCTTAGTTGTTTCCTGTCTCCTGCCTTGAAGGCGACACTTCTTTTTTTGTTTTTGCATTTACATCCTGTATGGCAACTTCCGTGGACACGATCCATTAAGATGGACCGCTGTAGCAAACAGAATGAAAGCCCAGGTGCTTCTCAGGCTGTCAATGGCTTTAATGCAATTCATTCTCCTGCATGGCCTGAAATTTTTATGTTGCTATTATTGGGTGTTGGCTAGTTTCCTAAACGAGTTGCCCCTCTGGACTACAGCATCCATCCATTTAGAAACAATGCTCAGCCTCCTCCTCCTCCTCCTCCTCCTCCTCTTGATCCTCCTCACTAAAGCGCCTGCATCCATTTCCCTGGTACTGCTCGTCTGCTGGATTCAGCGAGATTCATTTTCTGCGGGGGGAAATTGGTGTGCTGATTGGCCTCTTTACTCATGGATTAGCCATTAAAAAGCTGTTAGCGAGTCTCTCACTATCAGCTCAATGCAATCATCGCACCAGAGATAAGGTCATTATTACAGTCTGCGCAGAGAGGTTAAAATCCCCCTTGAACTCTGCTCAGTTTAAATTGGTGCATGCACTGGAAGAAGGCAATGGACAAATTATTGCTCCCTCTGAGATATCACTGCTATTGAGTCTAAATCATCACAGTGGAGAAAAAGCATTAAGAGGTTTGTGGAGTCTGTGACCATGAGTTTATTTCTCATGTGCTGTTGTTTACATACAGGGAGCCCAGCAGCCCTCAGTGCTGCACATTTCTACCTATTAGCAGATCTAAATGAGACCATGGTTCAGTTATTTTTGGAAATGAAAGACAGCGTTTAGTGTCGTTACTCGAAGACTTCACAAGCCAGCGGGCAGCACAGTACAGTATCTCCAGTCCATAATTAGCCGTGTAGGAGGACGTGAGATGAGACAAGGAGACGGCACAGGAGGAAAGACACAGACCACTAAAAACCTGCTCATCCGAACTTCATGACAGCAGATCAGGAAAGGTTCTGCAGGAGTTCAATCCGCTTTCCACTAACCCAAACTCTCTCACCAGCCCAAGATAAATTATGTTTATCTGCCACTTCTACCCAAACGTATAAACCGTATTCCCTGACTTATTTGACTGAATGATCTGAAAACACAAAAATAATACAGCACCTTGTTGGCAACCAGGTTACAGTTCTAATAACAAACTGCGACGGCAAACCAGATTGCTTTGGCTCCGAGACAAGCTTTGCCTTGGGAAATGGGAAAGGTCTTTCAGGGAGCCGTACTGAGCTGCACTGAGCTCTGGGGTTCTCCTTATCAGAGGAAGCAATATGCACAGCCCACCAGCTCTTTGAAATTCAGCAATTAAATGTCAAACCCAATAACTCGCATGTTCTCACGGCTTTACCCCACTAAATACCCGCACACACCCATGTGATGTTCATTTGAAGATATCTGCATGACATTGAAACTGCTGTGTAGGCATTTGTCAGCATTTGCTTCATCACTACAACTGCTTCTTTTGATTAGCGCTGGAATCTGTCACTATAAAAATAGCTGGGACATTAGAGGTTTTCTGCACGGAGGCGGGCCTTACTGCGGCAGAAAATTTACTGCATGTGGTCAAAACAATTGACGGATGCATTTGTGGGTTGTTTTTCCTGTAGGTGGGCCGTCTCGGTGGTCGTCCTCTCACTGTGACTGCTGCTGCAAGAGCCACAAAAGCGAGCGCGAGGGAGAGAGCGGCACTTCCTTCAACGACCTCTCCACTTCCTGCTCCGAGACCCAATCGGAGGCCAGCTCCCCTCAAGGGACCGTGATCTGCGGGCCCGTGAGCCGACAGTCCAACATCCAGACGCTGGACCGGCCCATGCCCAAAGGACCGGTTCACATGCTGCAGCAGGCAGAGATGCGCCGCAAGACTGACATGCTCCGTGTGAGAACCTTCGGCGTCCGCGAACGAGAGGCCGCAAAGAGGAAAGCGAACAAGGAGAAGATGACTCCAGAGCAGGAGCTGGAGAAATGCATCCAGGACTTCCGGCGCATTAGGATTCCCGATCGCTTTCCAGAGAGGAAGTACATGTGGCAATCAGAGCTCCTGAGAAAGTACCGTCTCTAAATATGAAGAGAAGCAAAAGAAGTGGTACTGCAGTATCATGCCGCCACCACCAATGAAGAGTATTAAACTGCATAGGCAATACACTGCACCCTCTAAGACACATACTGTACTAGAACAAAAAAAAAAAACTGTGGCCACTTTTCTGCCGGGATGACTAGCGAAGCACACACAGTAAAAGGCAGTGTGAGTCATTGACTTGTAAAGTATATGCACAGTGTTGTGTGTCATATGCACATGTGTAAATCAGGTTACTCCTGTCGGGGCTTACATCGCACTTCCCCGTTCTCACCTCAGAGAACCGAGAGGAGGGAAAAGGCTACAACATCACCAACAACATAGCAACCTCAGGGGCAACATCATTTCAGTTCATCGACCAATCACATACTGTACGTGCAAATGCCCACAATAGCTGTTTTTTAAATGGATGTACCCAGAAGGTGCTGTGAGATAGCAAAGAATTATCACTATACCACATCGATAACACGTATACTTATAGTACGCTTCGATAACGGCACTGCATGTCATTTCACCCTTAGCATACTTATGCAATATCAAACAAAGTTTCGATTCACCGTTTCGTGTGATGGGTAAAAATGATGCGTCATGACTGAGGCTGATGAGGAAAGCACTGCCTAGATCTGTTTGCCATTGTGAAACTTTTTGTCTAATGTTGTCATTATGTGTTGGATAGATGATGTTGTGTAGGTAGAGTATATAATGACAATGGATATTGATCTAATCCTTGATTGTAAGTGTGCAAAAAAAATGTCAATAAATGGGTTAGAATTATACGTAATCACAGTGAACCTTTCTGTGACCTTTGGAATTCATCTTTTTTCAAAGACTGTTAAACTCCTGCATTAACAGCAACAGTCTGGTCAGAGTTTAGCAACCGTATTTAGGTTAGATACAGCTTTAAAGCTTTGTTCTGTTCAAGCTGGTTGGAAATTTCTGAGCTGAAACTTTCAAATTCCAACTTACTTAGACTTCCTTCTATGTTAAAATTGACAGGTCTGGTAACGAGAGCTCCACCAATTTCTGGTTTCTCATTGCATCTTTGGCGAGTCTTTTTCACTGCAAGGACAGCTGAAGGGAGACAAGAAGGGAGGCAAGGAGAGAGGGAGAGAGTGGATGACATGCACCAGTGGACCTGGACTAGAATCAGAAACCAGTGTGCTGCAGTGAGGATACAGCTAGTCTGGGTGCTTGACAATCTGAGCTACTGTGGCGCCCAATAATCCTACTTCTGTTAGATATCTAGGTTTCCTCTGTTGCACAAACCTGTTTAGGTATTGACTATCTTAAGTAGGAATCATTTGCTATTAGTTCTGGGTAAATTAAGATTTTTTTTCTCCTTCAAACCAAAAGTCATGCCTGGCTGAACAACTGCATTAAAGTTCCTTCGTTCCAGCAGAGTTTTCTGAATTTGAGAGGTTAATAGTTACATTGATTTAAAAGGCTCTTTAGCAGGATAATTATCATGGAAATTGGTAAAGAATGTAGAAAAATGTGATTATCAGCAAACTGCAAGTGTTTCCCCTCTTTCTTTTTCTTCTTTTTTTCCCCCAAATCAGCAGCTGTGTAAGGGGTTTTTACCATGGAAACATTGGTAGTTTGCCTCGGATGTGGTGGCTAACTTATTAGTCTTAAATGTCACTATTTTTTTTTGTAAAAGTCACATTAGACTCATCTAAGTGTCCATTTTAGACCTAGCCTACACTATGGATCAGTCTAAGATGTCTTTGCTAAACTGGTCCCAGACCTCTACTCAAAGTTTGTCTACTTGTGTGATGGGACCATTCAGCTCCCACTAGTATCCATCTGATGGACCCTTTGGAGATTCAGAGGCTCTTGGCCACTTGGCCATGCCAACATAGCCTCCCTTGGGTGACTGATGTGACGGCTGCAACACCAAATGTAAAACAAACAACGTAGCTGACAGCAAGGAACTCTTCTTCTTATGACAGACAACATATTTGCAACAGCACCGAGTAATAGCTCTCCATAATAGCTCTCCATTACAACAGGCTTCCAACATCTAGGAAAGATCCTGACACCATTCTGCAAAGATAATATTCAATCTTACTTACAGTGCGTGAGGAGCCGAGCTGCAAAGCACGAGGACTCGACAAGGTTTTTATTTCACCCCTCAAAAAAACATGACAAACAAAGTTGCAAAGACCAATAGTGAAGTCTGGCCCTTAAAATAGGTCAAAATAACACAGCAAACCTACTGCCTTGACCAAACAAAATCTCAACAGTGCTGAAAGCTACTAACCAAAAGGGGACATATTTATCCTGGTTGAGCAGATCAGTCACACACAACAGGGGAAACAGAAAGGACCTACACCTAAACTAACAACAAAAAGCACAAAACAGTACAGTTGGTCTACTTCATCAAAAGAATAATGATAAACAAAGCCAAAATATATATAATTACCCAACTGAACTCAAAAGAATAAAGCAATATGTAAATCAAATAAACCCAGTCCACCCCCAGAAGTGGCAGGAGCTTGATGTGGTCTGATAGGCAGCTCTGGCATAAAAGCCTGGAGCGCCCTAGCTGGCATCTTTTGCCTGAAGCCAGCCAGGTGACCACAGCTGCAGAAGACCAGACACCCCAGCTCAGGTAACACAGAGAAAAGGTTAGCACACCTTAAAACAATGCTTAAGCACCTAAACATACACATTGCTTAAAATGGCTAATTATGTGTTGCTGTTTATGTGTTTTTGTGCGCATAGTATAAATGCAAAGTGTTTCAACTTACCGGAGTTACCAGCGTTCATGGTTGGGATGGCTGCTAGTGCAGCCATCACACTGTGTTTTTAGGCAGTATAAGTGATTATATCGCCTTAAACTTACCATTCATCCATATTGAGTGACTTTGGGCTCTCAGTGAAGAAGCTTTGTACAAACGTGGCCTCAGTTCCACACTTGGAGCTCCGGCTTGGATTGTTTGTCAGGAGGTTGGAAGTTTTTGAGTTCCATGTTGTCTGGAGTAAATGCAGCATGAGATAGCAGAAATATGTGTGACGAGAAACTGAATCTGAATCATTTGTACTTGAACTGGAATTGCGCAAATGGAATACTTGTAATGACAATCTGAATTTGAATCTTGTAACAAGAATGCAGTTCGAAAGCAAAACTAAACGAGAAATACAAGAGAAATGCAACTCAGTTGCAAAGCAGGGCAAAAGGGGGCAAGGTGGCAGCACAGCAACAACGCAGCAAGAACACAGCCCGGTCACAGACCGGTAGGGCACCGTGAAGCCCCCGTGCACCCTGGGTTCTCCCGCGACCCCCCACAAGCCCAAAACAAGTCCAAAAACATGGGGAAGCTGAGAGGGGACATAAGAGTGAACGTAGGTGTGAATGGGGGGCGCGCCATGGGATAGACAGGCGACAGACCCACGACCTCCCCGGCCTGCCCCCTGCCACGGCCCGGAGACGCCCCAAACACACCCCACCACCCCACAAACCAAGAAACGATAAACAGATAAAGAAAGAATGGATGGATGGATGGAATTCAGTTTCAATGTAATGAATTCATGTTTAAATGATGAGATACAAATTACAGAGTCAAGCTCTGTTTTTAGTTGCGCATTTTCATAGACCCATTAGCATGTCTGGCTACCGAGCTTACTGCTGTGACCAAGTGATGCTTCCAAAGCCAAGTAGTATGTTATTAGCTGCACAGCGTAATTTGTGTGGTTATATTCAAAAACTTGTTGTGATTTGGTTTTCTGCAGTTTTTTGTTGTGTGTCTCATATTTTCCTGTGATTCCTGACTGGCTTCATGATGTTGAGATCTGGACTCAGTGGGGGCCGCACCATCTCAACTCCTCATACTATTAGTCACAGAGGATGGCTCTTAATGACTGTGGTTGTGTCTTGTCTGCTGTAGAATCTACTTGTGCTATTCTTCTTTGAGGAAACCACCAATTCTGAGCAAATCCCCAACTTTGTTTGCATGAATGCAGCCCCAGACTTCAGCTTGCTTCACTGTTGCCTGCATCCTTGTAAAAAACCTTTTTAGCTCAGATTTAAATATTTTTAAGTTCGGCTCATATGTCCAGAGCGCCTACTGCCCTTTTTTTTCAGAAGTCTATTGTGTTTTGATCTCATGGTGTTGCTGGACACATTCAGACTGTGAGGGAAATTCAGCTTGATGTGTCTTTTTCTCTGTTGCTTTCTTTGTGCTTCCGCAGAATGGGGTTGAGCTAACTGGTTAATTGCACTTAACCAATTGTGACATGCCCAATACGTAGAGGAGACAAAGTCATGGACGCAATGCAGAGCACGTTCATTCCTTGTAACTTGCTTCAATGTCTCTGAATTTGTTCCTGTGTAAACAGAAAACATCAATAACTTGAACAGGCCATGTGAACTGGCAATATGAACATAGATCAGTTTAAATAGTGACAAAGTAAACTTAAAGGACAAATGTGGCTGGTGTAGGAAAAGGAAAGACAAACGCAGCTCTGCAGACTTGAATTGTTTCAGGTGCGAGGTGAAGGGCTTCCTATAGCACAAGTTTGATCCTTGCAAGCCAAATCAAGAAACCTTCAGTGGAGACTTGGAGCTTGGATTAACATCTGGAATCATCTGTCTTCTGCAAAATGTCTTCCTGTGAGAGACCTTGCTGCTGCAGATGATCGTCTTGTTGCTATGCTTAGTTTTGCCTCTCTCTCTTCTTCTTGTCTCTTCTTCAACAACCTTGTCTTTTTGGTACGGCAGCTCCGCACCTGGGCTTATTCCCACAGCTGTTTCTGGTTCACTTCATGATTTAAGTTTAACACAAATATTATATTCATGTTCATTTCCATTTGCTTGGTGTCATTTTTTTTTTTATCATGCATTCAGCTGTATGCTTTCAAATTCCTTATTTTTTTCTGTAAATTGGCTTGAAAGTATAAACAAAACAGAAATCTATGACCTCTGTGTTACTTATCCGAGTATGAGAAGCCATAACAGAGTAGTAAAAATAATATATTCACATTTTTCTTGTGCTTGTGACAATAGCACATTTCCATCCTTCTACAGTCAGAGATGATGTATTAATTTTCCACACAGAGAAACTTGAATGAGCTGAAAACAAAACCATGTTGCCTTCTGTTGCACCCAATCACCAGGCCACTCCACACAAAACTGGTTTCATTTAGAAAGTGAAATAGATCCCTTCTTGTTGACATTTTAATGTGTGCCTCATCCTCTCGAGAGGATCTCAAGGAAAGAAGAAGAGAACCATATAGCATAGAGAGCACTATTTTTAGCGACCAGCTTTCTGCAGTGTTCCCACATCGCATCCGCGAGGAGCGAGGCTCGGGGACTGTATCGCTGCAACCCCAAAAAGCAGCGCATGTGATGATAGATGAAGACCTGCTTCTCTCTTGGGGCACTGAGTGTCCTCCAACACAGGCTCCAAGGAAAAAAGCTTTGTTAGGACTTGGTGATTTTGCTCTACACACAAAAAAAGCACGCGACAATAGATTATAAACCCTCCAGCTCTTTCTACTGTTGTCAGCTAAGGCATAGAAGCAATCTGAAACCTATAATCCTGGTCAAAAAGACCATCAGCCCACCACCATATGTCACAAAAATTCTCAGTGCTCTTTTTTTTTTTAACTCCATTTAGCTGCTATTTAACTAAAAGGAGATATGGGTTTGGATGTGAATAGGCTTTCGGAAACTCATAAAAAAGCACATTAGATTCTTAATACCCAAGCAAAGAGTGAAATAGCTTAAAATGGAAGGAGACTGTAACATAATGAATTTGTTCGGGATATAGTGGCCGTTCTTCCTCTC